CTTTCAGACTTGCCAGATTTATATCAGCCTTACCAGCTAGACCAGACAGGAAACATGACTAGATAAACTAATTCTACTTTATTGTAAAGCTACATTAACAGAATCTTGCAAGTCTGAAAGTACAAATCTCCCACTTGTTGGGTCTGGAGTCTAGATCTTGTGGAGAAGGCCCTGATGCTATTCACCATCATTACAGTAGGACAGATTGTCTTACAAAATTGCATGACAAAGGAATGTCAAATTACCCTCATAGATTGAAGTATATGCACTTCTGTTTGTATTATTAAATGCATCAGACACTTTCTTTTTGTAAATCCAAATACTTTGTGATGGTGAGACCTGTATAGATATACATAATATATTCCAAGGTGAAAATCAGTGGTTATGGAGAATGGTACCTAAATCCTGAGCTATGGAATTTCTTTTTGCCTTATTATTTTTACTAGCCTATTTGTTTCTCTTACAAATAGATTCTGGAGATTTCTTCAACTTGTTATTGAGATGAGGATAAATCTCAATTTTTCACTAATAATAAATTGATACTAAAGTCAAATATTGATGTCTGTTCTAGCAGCTAGAATGAGTGGCATGGGCTAATATTATCTTTCCTGTCCTGGTTATTTATACAGATGAGATGGATCGCCTACAGCACAATTCCCATGGTGGCTTTGAATCGGTGCTGGGATGCAGGATGGAAGGATTGAAGAGTGAGCTCCGCAGCCTTCGGCAACAGGTGCTTCAGCAGTCAGATGGTGATTGTACTCCTGATCTGTTTTCCTGTCCTGGCATCATGCAAGATATGCTGGAGAGGTCAGCCATATGAATTAAGAAGCATAAACAACTTGGCAGGATAATATGGTGGGGAACAAAGAGCTGTACTTTTCTATTGCCATCCAGAAGACATGCTTACTGGGATAAACTTGGGTTCCTATATGTTGTTAAGTTTTTAAGAGCATTTCCAAATGTTGAATATTCATTAAACCATTGGATTAGAAAAAATACAATTTTTCTCCTAACAATGATTTGCTAATAATAAATAATATTAATAAGATTTCCTGTAATTAGAAATGAGTGAGCTTGTCTATCCCAGACATTTCTAGCCTATGAAAAACAGCTGGGTAATTTACCATCAAGGGGACACGGTGGCGCAGCGGCTTAATGATGCTGAAAGTTGCCAGCCAGAAATGGTCGACACTCCAGCAGTTCAAGCCCAGCTCCACACAGCAGAGCGATCTCCTGTCTAATCCCTAGCTTCTGCTAACCCAGCAGCTCGAAAGCATCCGCAAGTAGATAAATGGGTACTCTCACCCTGGTGGGAGGAAGAACACTGGCAGCGCCTTGCACGAGAGACGGGACCAGTTGCTGGTAATGCAGAAGCCGCGTATGCCCGAAAAACGGCGCGAAGCAACAGAAACCCTGCCTCCTGTGCTTGCCAGCTGGGCTCCGCTCTAGGAAGGAGGCAATGGCAAACCACTT